CAAAATAGTATACAAACATTATATATATTATTTGATATTATTATGTTCTGAATGACAACAGCATTCGATAAAATATTTAAACAAATAAAAAACAGGTGGCAAACTTGATAAATCTCAACATTATGTGCCTATGGCCATCTTTAGGATACTTTAAAGCTCGTTAGTAGTGTAAGACCAAAGGGAAGGCAGCTAGTCATCACCACCCACCGCCATCTCTTAGGCTACATTTTTACCGACGAATAGGGGGATTGGTCGTCACTTTATAACGCCCCCACGGCTGAAAGGGCGATTCGGACCCGCGATTCTCAGATTGCGAGTCAAGCGCCCTAACCACCTGGCCATGCCGGGCCTAAATTTGTAAGTTCAACCGTTTGGTTTCCTATAGCGAACCAAATAAACCAGCTGCATTTTCACCTGGCATTCGTTTACGACGTATTTTTCTTTTTTCAATGGTCAATCCACATGTTTCGCATTGATTATTGCCCACGTTAAGTGATTCTTGACAGGACTTTTCAAGTGATTCTATCAATTTCTTATTCAAAGAATCAAGATCAGCAGCTGCTTCTCTAAAATTCATTTTTGGGGCCTGAAGACGTTTCTGCACACGATTGATAGATGATAAAAGATTTCTCCAAAAATGCAAAAGTACAAGAAAATCAAATGTAAGCATGCGTTGCAGAACATTATTAGCACCACATTCTGTTTCAGCCATGTTGCTATTCTCACTTAATTGCTCTAACAGTCCTAGCAATTCATCCAGTTTTTCATTTACAACTTTTACTGCCTTTTCTCTTGCACTCCACCGTGTTTCTGATTCACGCTTGACAGAGATCTTAAGCTCCTGTTGCAGTTCGTCCCAAGGAGTTGTTGAATGAGCAAAGAAATTATAAATAACTTCAATTATACCAAAAAAGGTTGTTTCCTGATTTGCAGCATGAAGACATGCTAAGTTCAAACTATGATTGGCACAGTTTATAAACAATGCTTTTGGAATTTTTTGTTCAGAATTCTTTGTTGAACGCCTGACAGATGACCTGACATGACAGCAGCATTATCATAACATTGTGAACAACAATCACTCAATAAAATTCCATCCGCTTCTAATTTTGTGCTTATTGTTTTCTCAATATTGGCAGCATCTTTTTCCTTTATCTGTATAAAGTCAATAAATGACTCTTTGTCTTGTCTTAAAGTCAATGTTAACAAACCGAGTCACTTGGGCCAATTGCTGACGATGGGCTAAATCAGGTGTGGAATCAAATAGAATACCATAGTATTTGATTCTACGAATTGCTGACAAATAATAATTTCGCACATGTGATGCCATGAGATTTATACTCATTTTGGATTTCAGGAGAAAGATAAGATGTTGACGTTTGCTTGTTTTTAACACGCTCTAAATGCTCTCTCATTACTGGATCATACTTTACTAATAACAGCAAAAGTGACAGGAAATTTCCAGGGTTTTCGTTTGAAGTTATGTCCTCAGTATGACCACGAAATGCAAGATTCTGAGAAGCTAAATATTATGTACAATCCAGCAACTGTCACAGTACATATCTCTATGTATTTTTTTCTTGCTCAATTTGCCTTTGCAGCTCTTCATCAATGCCACTTTGAAGACGAATTTGGTGCTCAGTTTCTTTCCAAGCAGTAAATGATTCACGATGACTGTCACTATTTTCATGAGCATTTAACTTTTCAATTTATTTCCACTTAGAGAATCCACCCTGTGTTTTGAAAGCAGACCGACTATCGGATGTCATACATGCCTAGTTTAATAGTTAGTATAGGTCTAAGTGTGCCTATAATATAGGCTACAATTTGAATGATGATCGACCTAGGGTCTAGAAATAAAGTTATAACTGCAATTAGACCTAAAGTCTAGTACATTAGTTGGTGTAAGACATGATTTACAATCAGTCAATACAATTACAAACCACTACATTAGGCCTATAATGTTTACTAGATCTAGATCTTGCCTGTTGCATATATTGCCAATCTTGCACACCAGTTAATATGTTACACCAATCTCGTATTTTCTTTTTTGTTGAACATACCCTTGTACGTTGTACTCTAGGACTTGTATTTGATCTACAGATGAATGATGGAATAGTGTAATTTATTTCCGTACGTCAATTCGGTCTCACTGTATTTCAGTGGGCAGCTTTTAAAAGTTAAAACTACAAGTGTAATACACACAAATAACATAACACTCTGTTGTATTTACTTAACATAGGGCATAATTATTAATTAATAGGCATTACAGGCCAGAGGAAATTCTGCACCCGGGGTCGACTGCCCCCCTCTTGCTAGAAAGAAAAGAAGGTTAATTTAAGTTTATTTCTATTTTTTTTGGTGGTTACGAGGTCGGTCGAATTGACCGATCCAGTTTTGAGATAGAGTAGAGAAAATAACATATGAACTATAAGGATTTAGGGGGAAAAAAACGTTTGAAATACATTTAGAAGGTTTTAGGGATTACACAAAGGAAATTTGAGATATTTGAAATGACGAAAAGTATTTTTAATTTTAATGTGAATATTACTTTGCACACGGACTATTCAAAACAAATACTCAATATATTTATGGTCAAAACTTTATTTTATTAAAAATACTTCACTAAGAAATATGACTTTTTGTATGTGAAAGACTTATAACATTAACTGAAAGACTGCCAAATTTAGTGAAGATATACCCAATATATAGAGTTATAAGTATTAAATTTATATAAACTTTAAATGAATACAGAAGGTCATGTGACTCGATCATATTGACCGACCCTGTGTTGGGAGAGTTCACTGCCTTGGTGGATTACACTAACAACATAATCCCAAAGTGACCATCAGTTTCCATACTATTACTCTTAACATGTTTTGTGTATTTTCAGGAATTTTTTTAAGCTTTTAGTAAACATTACAAGTTTTTGGTAGACAAAAAAATCAGAATTTTTAATGAAGTATTTTTTGCTAAAAATCTGTCTATGAATATATGGAGTCAAAGTGTTGACTGCTCCCAATGCAAAGTGATTTTCAATTTAAGATTAAAAATACCTTTCTTTATCTGAAAATTAACAAGTTTCATTTGTGTTATCTCTAAAACCATCAAAATAAATATCAAGTTTTTTACTAAATTTTATATTATATCTGTTATTTTCTCTACCTTAACTCTATACGCATTCAGTCAATTTGACCAAACTCGTAACAACCATAAAAAGAAAAGAAATAAAATGAGTAGCACTGTTCTCTCCTTTTTAGTTTGTTATGAATTTTGCACAAAGCTACAAGAGTGCTATCTGTGCTAACCGTCCCTAATTTAGCAGTGTAAGACTAGAGGGAAGGCAGCTAGTCATCACCACCCACTGCCAACTCTTGGGCTACTCTTTTACCAATGAATAGTGGGATTGACCGTCACATTATAATGCTCCCACAGCTGAAACGGCAAGCATGTTTGGTGTTACGGGGGTTTAAACCCGTGACCCACAGATTGCAAGTCGAGCTCCCTAACCACCTGGCCATGCCAGGCCATCTTTTTTTAGTATTGATCACAAAGTTCCAAAGTATTTCTGAGAGTTTCTACTTCTAACTTTTCACATCTATTTCCTATGTTTATTTTACTGTTAGCAGCTGAAGTAGAAATCTGTGAAAGATAAAGCAATGAATTACCATTCCTGCCATTAGTGTTTATGTGACACTGTAATACGACACTAGCAATAACAAACAAGCATGAGTAGAGCAATAAGCCACAATTTCCACAGAGTTTATCTTAATCCAAGAACACAATGGGAGAAGATCTATCAACTTGCTTACAGTAGAGTGGTTGCAAGGAGAATTTTCTAAATTAATAAAAGTGCAAGAAAATATTTATTATATGGCTTTGTACAAAGTCCAGACCAATCCAGTAAACTTGGTAGATAGTTGGATATTAATTATCCTTCCATGGTGATCAAAATTTAGTGGTATAGGTATACAAGATATACAAGTGCTTATGAACATGTCTATATATTGTTACTATTTACTCAAAAATGCTTGATTTCTAATTATGAAATTGATTTGTACTCACACAATGTACTTGCTAAGCCTTGCCATAAACTTCATTTATTCTCTCAAGTGAAGAAGGAAGACAAATTAATTTTTGTAGATTTCAAATATGCATTTTAGAAAAACCAAAAAATTATCATATTATTAAAGTGATACATATAATCACTAATTTATCTTTTTTACTAACTAAGCTATACGTGGGTTTAAAAAAATCTCATTTCTGTTCAGAGCATTGACTTAGTCAACAGACTTCAACATTTCAAGTTGGCTTTCTCCTTCAAACCAATTACAAATGACTATCAAATGCATGTAGTCTAGAATGTGCTCTTTCTATTGATTATAAACCTGTACTTAACAGAAATAGGTGCGAGTATAAAAAAAGGTTTAGAAAAAATGAAGTGGGAGGTGCTACTCTGATAGGTTTGCTAAATATATTGGTATCTTAACAAATAAAAAAGGTGAAAAGTTCATATTTTATATTCTAGCTTGTCAGTATCTGAAATTTGAGTTTCTAATTCATTAACCACTATAGACATTGTATGGTAGGTGTAAAAAGGATATTTAGCATTTTGTTTTTAATATTTTCTTTCAAACTAAAATATTGAAACATATATAATACTAAAATTTGATTTGTAAACTACATTTCGATGCCAATTTTTTGATGATAAGGTTGTTTAACTAAATTTGAATATAACTAAAATGTGGTGGTATGTGCTCTTCAAACTGTCTGCTGTGAGAGGGTTAATACAGGAAATGTTAGAAACTTGACTATATATTTTAAGATAATCTTTTATAAAGTTATATAAAACTTAAATATTAACATATTAGTTTGCTTTTTGGGCATCCAAAGAATGTGTAGTTTTGTGTGTTTTAAAATAATAATAATAAAAATAAAATAATTTTTTTAGAAAAAGAATAATGCACTGTTACATATTTCAGTATTAGGTTTAGTTTTAAATGTTTATTTCTGCACTATAATTAAGAATATTTTAACATAGTAGATAAACTGTACTCTTTATTGGTTCTGTTCTACCCTAAAACATAAAACAAAGATGCAGAGACTGTGGTTTGTTACCTTTCCAATACTCTCCTTATCCAGTCCCAAATTTTGTAACCACTCAATCAGTTCTGGATCTTCATTAGGGCCATATACAGATACTGCAACTAAAAATGAAAAATATTACATGCCAATACTCCACAGACTCACTGTAAACAAACAAATTACTGGTGTGAATTATTCCTAGCTTAACTGGCTTTCTTATAAATGTTTATTAACAAGAAAACATCACTGCAACATGTGCTATTACTTTCAAATACAAACAACATGTAACTTACAGAAAACAATGAGTGGCACTGAAGTTACAATTACATGTGGTAGTAACCATATACTAGAATACATCTAAATGATATAATAAAATATTGTGTAGACAGATACCTTATTTATCATATTATTTACACAGGTTTTTATTGGTTGTACATAGTAAAACTTTTATTTTGTTCACAATGTTTCACTAGGTTTACCTAGCACCATCAGAGGAGATACAAGAACTAAGGCTAACAAAATAAACAGCAGTTTTACAACATTTCACCAGGTTTACCTGGCATCATTAGGGGAGATACAAGAATGAAGGCTAACAAAATAAACAGCAGTTTTACAACA